CTGCAGCTTTTCTACAGTTGCATTGGGATTCTTGTTTTGTTTGGCAGTGAACATAATGTACCCCCACCATGGGTGGCTGTGAGGGTCAAAATACCACCACATGTTTCAGCCATGCCATTGCATTGGGCAGCCCACTTGTTTCTGTTATTTATAGAGATGAAGCAATTAAAGGAACATTTCAGTGTGTTTTAAGCCAACAAAATTTGGCAAACACGAGACGATATATATTCTATTTTTTTAATCACTGTCGAATTTTGTCCGCAAATACTTAAAAAATTAAAAACAACAATCAAAACTTTTATGCACTCTGCACATAAAAGTGACAATACGGAGTGTTCACCTGTCACCTTTTAAAAGGATGTTGGATTACCATGTTTCTATGTTTCTATAGAAATATCTGTGGAAAATCTCCTTAACATTATTTCTGAAAACATTTGAAAACTTCTATATTTTGTATTTGATTGATATATGAAACATTTGTAAATGGTTCAAAAGTATCACATCAAGTAAATGCACAGAATATGACATCATTATCCCGTCTCTTCAACCTGGAACAACTTAACTGTGACCGTTTTTAGAACAGAGGAGGGTTCAAATAAACCAGTGAGACTAAATAAGATAAGGCTCTACTGTATTTCTTCCTTCTGTTCTCTTCCCCCCTCATGTCTGTATTTCCCGTCCCTGTCCCTATCCAGCGTTCGTTCATCCAATTAAACACAGCCCTTCAGTTGTGTGTAATTTAGAGCAGAAAGCAGCAGTTGTGGATGTTATTAGAAGCAGAATCAATCAGTCTGGGGACAGTAAGGAGACGTCCCTAATGCTCCGTCACGTTGCCTGGCTCCTGTATTTACGACCAGGGGCCTCTACTTGCTCGGCTGGCATCACACAGCCATCAAATAATAAAATAAATCAAAACATAAGAGTTTTGTCTATTTGCAATTTCCTTTCGGGGCTCCTCCGAATATGAAACCAGATGTTTCCGGCATCCTAAAGATGCGTTTCATCTGTGCTCCTTTTTCCCCGTCTGAGTCCCTCTCTCTGTTTCTTGCTCTGCCTTCCCTCTGCTTTCAAAATTAATGTGAAAAAAAAAAAAAAAAAGAAGGCAGGCTTATAAAAAGTGAAATGTCCTCTTTGCCCAAGGAAGTAGTCTGTTTTGCATTGATAGAGAGGCACAGGCAGCCCCTGGCCATCCGAGGCTGAGCCTGTTTTTCCTCTGCGATATCCTGCCGCCACATCTCTGCCTCTCGAGTGCGCCTCCAAGTAAAGCGGGGTGGGTCAAAGCAATAGCATATCCCCCCCTCCTCCCCTACTCCCCCCCCCCCTTTCTCCAAACCTCTAATTGGAGGTGCTCAGGTTAAAGAATGTCCCGGTTATCGCAAAGCCAGCAGAGAAACACAATTCAGCACTATAATTCGGCTGATGAGTGACTTGCATTTTCAAATATTTAGCGCCGGTGTTTACACAAGCTGTGTCATTATCTCATTCATGCACATTCAAACGTTGACATGAGTTTATACAGGGAGAATTAATTCCAAGTCAACCCCGAATGGGATTTTTAATAGATTCTGGATATATGTATGGGAATTCAGAAGCGTCTCTAAAGCTCAGACATGGATACCGTGTTTGTATAATTCTCTCGGCGCAGTAAGTGTGGTCCCAGTCATCTCCCGTGTATGAAGAGCTTGTCTGTTTTATGCCTCTGGCCTCTGTTCATTTTGACAAACTGTGCGTGCGTTCTGCCAGTCACTTCCAGGCAGCAGCAGCTACAATAAACACCAGCCATTTTTTTTTTTCTCTTTACTTTCCAGCTCGAGGCCCAGGTTTGATCCCGAGCAGAGCCCTAGCCAGCTCACTTCCTTCTGGGGCTTGAAAGCAAGGGGCCAAGCCCAAACAAACAGGAACTCTAACATATACGGCAGCTCCTGCACCTGCATAGTGTAACACCAGACTTACCGGCTTCAGGTAGACTTGGACAGGGGTCATGTTATCGAGGTTGGTGCTTCTGAAAGGAAGTTGTGTAGAAGGATGCCCAAACTGAGATTGATGGGGATCAAATTTGAATTTAGACCCTTTGAAAATGGATCTTTTTGACATGATCTAAAATCAAAACCATGATATATATAGAGCTTGCATTGGAGGGCAAAGGCTTCTTTCTTTCATATTGTGTAGTTAACAGTCATTGATAATGTCATTAGGTTACATAAAATGCAGTGGCAGAAGGTTGCAGTCGTATTCTGGGGAAGGGGAGAGCGTTGTCTGCATTATCCTGTGGGGGCTTTAAAATGAAAACAATTAGAGCCAGAGCCGAACTTACCAAACATGTATCGACACTCCCAGAAATAGCACCACAATAAGTCAAAACATCAGATTGGATGTCTTTCGCAGATGGACTTATCCAAACGCAATCTGCTCATTATAAAACAAATGACTCGCGGTTTGAAGAGTTAGAATTGATTTTGATGTGTTGACAAAATTTCAAATAGTTGTGTCTGTCGTGGGTTTCATCGAGTTCCACAACCTAAAAGTTAAGGTTGTGCAGATTCTGTGGTTATGACACAATCAAAAATACTCCCAAGAAACTACATTTAAGCAAGAGTCGTATATTTTCCCCTGGGGAACCCATTTCCATTAGTATTAAAGTGTTGAAGGGAAACTTGCCTACCATGGCACAAACTGAAGCTCCTACATGAACTAAAACTGATCTTGAAATGTTTGGAGATAGTAACCTGAAGGCAGTAGGAAAAGAAGAACTACATAAGCAGCCCTGAGCTGATACTACAAGATAGTTCCTGATTAGTGTAGTCCTTAGTGCCTCATTTGCTGTTCGCATAGAAGTCTTGACATTTTCACTCAGCAACTGCATTCAACAAATGTATCCCTCATGTTTTGAGAAATGAAGAGAAATCCCTCCCTTTTCAAGGCGCACAGAAATGTAAGTGCTGACAAGTAACAGCGTTTTACGCCTACCGTTAAACACACGAGTCCAATTACGCTTGTCCTCGTTAACGTGACAGGATGTCAAACAAGCACTTCCTGTTAACTGCCTCTTATCTTAATTGGTCTAGTCTCAGAGGAGGGTCCGGCTCTGTGCTGGCTGTGGTCACAGAGTCTGCTTCATGTCTGGCTCAAGCAGACACAGTGTTGTTTTGTTTTTAAGGAAGATCTGAACGTGGAGGTGGATTTCACTGGTATTCAAGTGGTCGCTGGTTAGAAAATCAGGAAGGCTGCGGCGTCATTTAAAAAAAAAAATTGACAGAAAAGTAGAAACTTCTCTGATATAAATGGTGGAAATGCATCAGTTACAGTTGAAGTCATTTTTGGACTCTTTCCTTTTTAGTCCATTGCATTTTGTCACTCAGACGTCCAAGCGTCGCCTCCCTCTTTGGCGTTCTTGACTCGTCCAGAGAGTGGCCCTCTTAATAAAGCCCAAATGCAATCTCCCTCTAACCCCAATGAGATGGCTCGGCTCCTCTGCTCTCCCATAATGCACTATTCATGCTTTTTATTAATCTCTTTTTCCTCCAGCCATTTTTCAAATCACTCCTTTTGTTTACTCATGAATATTTTTCTGCATTGTTGTGAGAGAGGGAGAGAACCGAGTGGAAAGGGAGAGACCATCACGGGGCCTGGTGGTGCTTCATCTGTGGGTAATTTGTGGCCAGGGAAGCCTTGTATTTCATCACTGGATAATCTAACCTTAGAGGTGTTTTACAGACTGCCTCCCAGCTCAAAATAGGTCACTTAAGCGGGCTTAGCAGACGAGGCCGGGCTGATACGAGGGCCCTGCACCCCAGGGGAACCTTGGCTCGGTAATTGGTGGTTATGGCCTGCGGTTTTTATTGGAGATGAACAAAGTTGGCCGTTTTATGTCACATTTAGGACAGCGGTGTGCTTGGGCGATAGAACAGGCCCATTAACAAGCTTCTAATTACAGATAGAAAGACTGTGTGGAACTCGGATCATTCCTGGTTTCTTATTTGTCCAATGTTGTTCACTTTTCTTTTTTTTTGTTGCAGATTTTCAGCCCTGCACTGTGCTTTTGTTCCAAAGGGTAGTAGTCGTAATAGCCCGTCTACAAAAGGTACCAAAGCATTAGGCTAATCTGTCACCCATTTCCATTTTCTCCACATATTTTTCAGATCCGACGCTGGAGAAAAAAAAAAGAGTGAGGTTGTGTGTGCAGGAGGAGGAGGAGGCGGGGGGAGAAAAGGCGTAATGAAAAGGGCCTAAATGACAGTGGGTTGACAGTGGGATTGGCTGGTAAATGACTGCGGAGTGGCTCGCCTGCGGAGAGGGGATGGAGGAGGCTCCCAGTAGGCCTGATTAATTCCACTCTCGGCGGCTGCCAGGGGAGAGCCGGGGTTAGCGGCTTGCTCGAAGAGGAGCCTATTACCAGTCCGCCACTGAAACTGATATAATCAGCTACACAGCGACCCGGCCTTCCCTGAGACAAACTTTTCCAGGGCTCGGTCCCCATTCGTTCCACACCGGGACTTAAAGACGACGGTGGGGAAAGGAGGGGGGGGTTGGTTGAGGTGAGGAAGGGCGTTTGGTTTGGATGAGGGGTACAAAGGATTCTCTTTTTCAGAGATGGTTAGGGGAGCTTTGTAAGAAATCCTCTCTGCTGTTCTGACTCGCTCACTCTGACTGTACCTCTGTATCTCTTTCTCCCTATCTCACTTCCCTCCTGCCTCCCTCTCCGGCTGATTTCCTGCCGCTTTGATAGCGACAGACCCTCCCGTGTGGCAGCAGCTTTAAGTCTGGTCAGATATGAATATGTCAGAGCTCTTAATCCCAGACGCTTCTCTTGCTGCTTCACAAACTGAAGCAAGAACGCAGCATTTTATCTGATGATGGCTCTACAATATGAACCCCCCCCCATCACCAGAAGGTTCTCCTGAACCTTGCTCTCTCTGTTTTTCTAGGATTGACCCAGAATATGAATGTAGAACAGGATAGAATAACATTATCCCGGTGACACATGTTCATGTATGTTCCAGGTATGTCTCATGCTGCAGCTGGAGTCCCATCCATCCTAATTACATGCCCAGTGAGGATTACAGGATTACCGACAGCTCGAGAGGTGTGTTTGCATTTTCTGACTCTCTTCTGTAAATAGACACTTTGAAAGGCCAGTTTAATCATTTTTAATGTAAAAAAAAAAAAAACATCCATTTCCCCAATTAACCTCCAGAAATACGAAGCTTTGACACACTTTTGCCACCTTCATAAACAATCATTCTGCAATCCACTGACCTGACTGTAAGCAGTTATCATTGGAACAATGTTCTACCAAAGTAATCTTATTTTACATGAAAAAGGTTTATAATTTTAGTGTAGCTTGTCGACAATTTACTGAGTGTTTTCAAGCATCAACATCTGGAAGTGACCAAACTGCAGATCTTAGATTGGTCATTTGAGGAAGACTGAGTCAACCACTAACTTACTGCCGTCATCTTGGCTGAACAGAGTTATTGAATGTCACCTCTTGGGTAAAAAAAAAAAAAATCAAGGTGGTGATTGCCACAATGACAAACTGTTGCATTGCCTACAGCAGGGGGTGTCCAAAGTGCGGCCCGAGGGCCATTTGCGGCCCTTGAGGGGATTTTTTTGCGGCCCGTGACTTGAAATGAAGAATCAGAAGATTTTGATTAAGATTGGCACATTATCTTATTTTTATTTTTCATGTTAACAAGGGCTGAACAATATTCCTAAAATAGAAAATGTTCAGTAACATGTAAGTTGTTGTTGTTTTTAAATCTACAGCTTTTACTATTTCCCAAATTTCTTTGTAAACTATGAAAAAAAACGTATGCAAAGTTTTTTTCAAACAAGCGTACTGTTGTTTAAGCATTTAATGACCTGAGCTAAATGCAGAAAGCTTTTCCAAACAAATGAACCACGTTACAGGCTTGATTCTGAGGAAAAAAAACAAAGAAAGTAGAACAAAGAAATCTAAATATTTGATTTCCTTTTATTAAAGGGTTTCTTTAGCGAGCCTTTTGATTCTGATCTACAAAGCCTTACTTTTTTTTTCCAACTATATTTTAAAAAACAAAACCTGTGGCCCGCGAGGCGATTCTAACACGACGATTTTGGCCCGCAAGAAAACAAAGTTTGGACACCACTGGTCTACAGTATGTCTTCTTCCTGTACACGGTGTGCGAGTAAACTGGTAGTTTATTTAAACATGAATCTGTTTCTCTTATCTACGACGAAGTGATTGGAAAAGTGTCCGTCATTTCCCAATCATCAACTGTCTTTGAGAAGTGATGAATCTTTTTTCTTGTGTGTATGTATCATGTGTTAAAGCCACGTTTTCTAGAACAGTGTCACTTTTGACTGTCTGAAATCAGACTTTGTAAAGCTTTAAACACCACAAACAAATTCCATTCACAGCCACTGCACAAGGACACTCAATTCTTCAAACCTGGACAAATAAAAACCAGCACGATGTTCCGGCCAGACTCTGCTAGAGGCTGTGGAAGTGAGAAAACATGTTTTTGTTTTATTTTGGGTGAACCAACCTTTTAAATATGTGTCTCTTGGCGGTGGATGGGCTCCCGCATACACCCACACACACACACACACACACAAACACACACATGCAGGGAGCCTAGTTTCATTTGTGTCCATTACACAGTCCCATTCATGTCCCAGATAGAGCAGAGCCTGCTCTCCATACATCCCTGCCTCCCTCTGCACTGATAAAGGTCGTGAATAATACATATTAAGCACTGTACTGAAGGCCGTAACCGAACTGTTAAAATATTGATCTTTACCAATCATAATAAAGAGAAATTACCGAGAGCCATCCATCACCACCAGCCCGAGTGTCTGCTCCGACTCCCAGCTTAACTTGCTCAATTTCCCCCCTCTGTTGTAGCGCCACATTATAACTCAATAATAATAAAGATGATATCAGCCGCACAATTGCAGCTGCGTGCTCTGCGAAAAAGGTAGCGTGTTGTCATGCAAATTAAGCAACAACAAATCCATAACAGGACTAAATATATTTGGAGGATTACGTCCCGTTCATGTGTGGAGAAGAAATAAATACTTTCAATATTTGCCGGCGCTCGCTCGTCTCCGCTCTCCAGATTCATAATGATGCATGACATTTGGGGGGGGGGGAGGTGTGGGGGGGGGGGTGTTGACTTTTTGTGTGTCCGTGAACGAGAAGAAGAAGTGATAGTTTGTGTGTGAGTGTGTAATTCAGCAACCTGCACACGAGGCTGTTTGTGTTCTTCATACAGACACAAACCTGTGTGTGTGTGTGTGTGTGTGTGTTTGCTTGTACGAGAACGTGCAAAGACAGGTAGTCTGTGTGTGTGTGTGTGTGTGTGTGTGTGTGTGTACATTTTTTATTTTTTTTTCCAAAGCATGCATGTGCGTAGGTGCTTATGCAATGGTTAAATATTTTTTGTGTATTTGTGTGGGTTAAAGAGCATTTGTCTTTGCTTGCATGAGGGAGTGTAAAGAGAGATTTTATTTTTGTTGTGCACATGTGTGTGTGATTCCAAATTGTGATTATGACTGTAGGCTGTCAGCTCTGTGTGTGCTTGTAGGTTTCATGTGTGTACACATTTGTGAGAGGGTATTTGTCTGAGGGGTGAAGCAGCAGACAAAAGGTTTGGAATCACTTCAGCTCAATCCGATCAGCCCCGCTGCACCTCCACCCTCTCTGACATTTCCCACGACCACCTTAAACAAGCACCCAAAGGTGATCACACGAGGCCGCCTCGCCCCAACTACGCGCAGCGCTCCTACACCTAATGAGTTTTTAAATATTAAAAGCAGCACACGTCGTCGTCACTATTGCGAGCTCTTAATTTACCAAGCAATTAGGCTCGGGCGCTCATTTATCAGCGTGTGTTCATTTGCTGAAAACCTCGTCACTTTTTATTAATCGATGCCACAGAAACAGCGAGGTGAAATTAATGTGCGCCCAGCCGAGGTCACGCCAGCCCCCCGTGCCTAGCTAGCTGCGGCTCAGCGAGACGGGAGATAAATAGGAAGCGTGCCTCGCCAGCGACACGGGAGATGTGTCGAGGCGGTGGCGAGGTTCGTCGCTCAGGGACCGGTCTCTGCGGAGAAGGAGAGAGGAGAGGCGCTTTGTGACCGTCTGTTTGTTTTTTTTTCTTCAGGAGGAGAATCAACTCGTGCCTTTTTTTGAAAAGAAAAACAATTATAAGTTTAACCTCACTTTTCTGTGCTGTACCCTCTTCCTATTAGCTCCTCTATCAAACTGTAAGGAGCCTACTTTCTATTCATGCAGAAAAGTAAGAGCCAATCAAAACTCTGCTTTTATCTGAATTTTTTCTACTCTTGACTAAACAAGATGGGAAAAGGCGTTTTTCTACAAGTGCACCAAATGAAACAAGTCCTTCCAGTCATGTGTAACAAAATGTATATTCAATGCACAAGCTGTTACAATACAGAAAAGTGGGTGTTGAGAAATCTTGATGAAACACGACAACGAGTTGTAAACGTTTGAAAAAGTGCCAGAAACACAGCGGTGCATAACGTTCACAAGAAAGCAGAGCGCAGGGTGACGAGGCTTTACACACTGATGCTCACAGAAGGTTTCCAGTTTGTCTACTTTTCCTGCTTTGAACAAAGTTGTTGCATTAACAAAAAAAAAAATAGTTCCACCTCAACTTTCAGGCTTAATACCCGAAATAACTGCGCTCAAACGTGTGCTGTATGTTGGACAATCCTTTTCGATTCGCTACCTCCAAATCATAACTTTTTTTTTTAAATCTCAAGACGCTTAAAAAGAAACGACAGAAGTGCCCTGGCACCTCTCCAGCTACCACACCAACTTCAATATTTTGGTCCATATCGACCATTGGGAAGATGACGCAATAAATTCCAACCATTAATATCCACTTTTAAAAGAGTTTCTTTGCCCAGAGAAACTGTGACGACGTGATGTCATGGGGAGAACTTTAAAAACACCTCAGAATAGATTATTAATCAAGAACCAAGCAGATTATGAGGATATATTTTTTGGATTCCCCTCATTCCCACCGTCTCTACCGTCACTGCACACCCCCTCCCCTGCCCTCCAATCCATGTGTGTGCCCCTGATCCACGACCCCCAGGGGTGCTGGCGGCAGAGTTGCGGCGGGACGGTGCCAGCTTGGTGCAGCTCCAGCCTCGGCCTCGGCTCGTCCCATGCCCAACCCGGCACTGCGCTAATATGCTCCCATCCCTCATCCAGACAGTCGGTAAAGCACTGGGGCAAAATATTCAGTCTCCCTGAGCAGCTCCTAATAAATTGTCCTTTCATCGACGCGCAAGACAAATTTTACCTCCTCGCACCCCCCCCCCTCCCCCCTCCTCCCCTTTTCTCTATCTCGCTACACTCTTTCTCCCTTTCTCTACATGCTCCCAGTTCTTCTGCTCCCTGTGGTTTTTAGAGAAACTGGCACACTCACTCTACCTCTCAATAAACTAGAGGGATGCCAGGGGCGCCGCTCGGTCGGCCTTCTGCAAAAAGAGGTGATGGAAGGGAGGAGAAACAGAGGAGGCAGCTCTGGGATGGAGGGAGGATTTACAAGGTGGAGGCAGAAGAAATCAAGGGAAGAGGGATGTTATTGTGCACAATTCTCTGCTCCTCTCTCGCCTATCTCTCTCCGCCCTGCGCTGCCACAACACGCTACTGCTTCCGCTTTGTAATTGCGCAATTAGTGCCACAGCCTGGTTTTCATATATCACAAATGGCTAGCTGCTGCTATTAAAGCAGCCCCAGCGCCTAGCTAGGGGGGCACGGCTAGCCGAGGTGCATTAAGGGCAGCGTTTTGTAAAATGTGAGCCAATTTATCATGATCTGTTTTTCGCTCCCACCCACTGCTAAAACGCCCCTACTCCCTTGTCTTTGAGCCTGACCTTGTGCTTAGCTTGTGTGTGTGTGTGTGCGCGTGTGTGCGAGAGTGTGTCAGCGTGCGGAGGTTCAATTTGCTCATTGTTACTTGCTTGCATAATTTCAGGCGGCTGGCTCGGCACAGAGCCTCGCACATGCCCGCAGTCGCACACACAAACACATCTTGATGCGCACACTGCAAAAAGACACACACACCTCCGCAAAAAAAAAAAAAAGAAAACACCGGCCACTGATTGCTTGCGCCGCCACTTTGCTTCCTGCGTCTCTCATTCCACTACTCTCTTCTCTTTTCCTCTCCAAGCAAAATCCACTCATTTATATGCCGAGGCTAAACGGTATTCATTTGTAAGATGGCAAGCAGTATAACACTGGTAATTCCTCCTCACCAATTTCCAGCGCACTTTCCCCTTTAGCTGTCATAAGCAGTGCATTAAGTGAGTGAGGCAAATCCGCTCCCTATTCTGCGCCATCTCTCTCCCTCTCCCTCTCTTTTCCATCCTGCCTGCCGTTCTCCATCACCCACTCGTCACCCTCCCTTCTCCACGGTCGCATGTAGCCGCTGTGAAGATTTACAACGCACGCCTATTCACTCAACCATCCCCTCTCTCTCTCTCTCTCTCTCCTTCCTTTCATTCTGCCAGGGTGCTGGAAAGCTGAAGATGACACCCCGAGCTCATCAGAACCCTGCTGGCTTTTCACCCCCGAGAGCCGCCCTGAGCGCCAGGCGGAGCACGCTGCACTGCAGATACCTGCCCCCCCCCCTTCCTCCCCCCTCTTTCCCCTCCCTGCTGAGTAGCCTGTAGCCCCAGAGAGAGGCTAAACCAGGGGGGATGAGGCTTGGGGTGGGGCTGGAGGAGGCTGGATGAAGGGATTTGAAGGTGGGGTTACAGCTGTGGAAGGGAGCAGAACAAGGGAATAGATGAAGGAAGGAAGGAGGAGGGGGTTTTGGAATGGAGGAAGGAGCGAGGTAATGCTGGAAGAGTTGGGGTTGGGTCGGGGTTGTGTAAGCAAATCTGAGTCAATTCATCATGTTATAACCAAGCATAGAACTGGGGATATATTCAGTTTTCACATTTTGTATTCTTGCGTTGCTGTTTGCCATTTTTCAATTAAATCAACAAAAAAAAAAAAGACAAAGCTGAAGATGAGCGAGAAAAGAAGCGTGATGACATGCTGCAAAGGCCCAGTCTGGATGCAGACCCTATCCACTGTGGTATGGCTTTAGTTTAACATTTTGGGTCACGCTACCAAGTGACCTACCACCCAAAGGGAAGTCATTCCTGAAGTTCACTCAAAGTTCCAACAAATCGGACACTGACCTGTAAACTAGGAAGATAATTCAGACAGGAATGTTGGAAACAACTTTTTGGAATAAGCCATTTGATATTCCCAAGTTTATTGAAAAAGACTCAAAGGACAATCTAATGAGTTCTTCAATGAGCATTACTTAACATTACATATCAGTAAGTGAAACACCTATCAGTGCTTCAAACTTGTTGGTAGTTTGAGCTGTGCTTGACATACTCAATGTGTACTCTACACTAGAAGACATAGAAGCCTCTGGAAGACTTTGAAGAAATGAAATACTGACTCTTTTCAAAAAGGTTTTGCAAAGACTGGATATCTTGTAGGGTAATTATCAAGGCTAAGAATGGATACATTTGCCCTCGTGTCTGACATTGTTGGAACTTCAAGCCTAGAAAAAAAGTGTGGTCCCTGCTTTAAGCTGGTCCTACCCACCATACTATAAAACCAGTCCAATAGAATAAACAAATGCAGTGTTTTCCCTGTGTTGGCAGCTACTCCATCTTGTCATCTGAACCCACCGGATCGTTGTAATGTCTTTGTTATTGTCTGTGCAGGAACACAATTGTAGTGTTGCTGACAGCATAATTAGCAGGTAGTTTAGTATTATTTGCAGATAACAGGTTTTAAAGTTGTCAAATGAGTCTTTCCACCATGCTTTTATGAGTTTCTCACTATATTTAGAAAAGACGAGCACAAACAACAAGTATTACAAGATCGTTCCGGGTTGGTCCAATGGAAAAATGGTGCAATAACAGGCTTGAACACATGCTGACCATTACTCAACCACTGAGCTACCATTTCTACCACCTTGGCGTTAATGTGTTTGTCGCTACTTGTCAAACACCCACTTGTTTTGAATTCAACCACAAGAGTCTTGGCACCGCTGCCTCGTAGCACCGGCAATACGGACAAGAGAGCAATCATTGTTTTGTTGTTTAGAGTGCCGCACGAGTTGCTAACTTTTTGGAGGACTTGGCAGGGGTCCTTTTTTCCCCATCAACCCCCATTTTGATGATAAGTGGCCAACTACCAGCTTGGAACGAGGTCAACGCAGGCCAGTGGACTCCACCATTTTCCCCGCATAGAGGGGTGCAAATGAAGCAGATACAACAGCTGCCGAATCAAACAAATAGTATAAAAAAAAGTGATTTACAACCTCAAACCTCTCGTATACATTCTAAGAAAAGCAAGGAACACACCTCAGAAGGTGACACTGCAGATAATTGAAATTTATTCCCAATTATGCCCCACAGCAAACAACCCTCCCCTGATACGTTTCCTCCTCCACTTCTTCAGCTGATCGCCACAGTGCCTTCCTACGGGAGGACTTGTGCTTCAGCACTGAGGTGTAATAGCTGAGGGAGTTAATGTAGCTTAAACGGGCAAACTAATTGTCCCTGTCTCTGTCATATTTGTCTAGTCGAACACTCCTAAATACCACAGCAATTAATTACCTCACAGCCAGGTATAGGGAGACAGCTTCTAATCTGCATCTCAGCTCTTAGTGTGTTTGTGTAGCAAAGGACGGTGGGTATATGTGTGTGTGTGCATTTAAGGTTAGTGTGCGTTTCAAGGCAATCAGGGGAGTATTTTCTATAGAAGTGTTAACAGTGTATTGTGTTGTACTGTAAGTTATGAGACATTCAAAACAGTTGGCATAACTAAATGTAGTGTTTCAATGATTGTTGTGTGGCCTGCCTGAACTCTTGATTATCTTTTTCATCTTTGAAAACACTGTTGTTGGCAAGGCAATTGAAACGCCGTCGTCTTGCTTCTGGTTACATGATCCTAACGTTGCTCGTTGTTGTCTTTAAAAAAAAGTCACCTCAGATCCGAGCCTTTCTCCAATCAACTCTTGATTTTTATTTTGCTGGTGGAAAGTTTTCAAGATGGATGATGATGATAGATTGGATAGATTTTTTTTTTTTTTTTCATTCCCTTACACTGCTGTCAATGCTGCTTCTTCACTCGGTGTCCGAATTAATGGAAATAAATGATTTCACATCTGCACAGCTGACTGTGTGCGATCTGTTTCAGTGATGCGTGCGGGCTTAGTTTGTTTTGTGAGTGCTTCGAATGTGCACACAGGTGTGCTGCGATCGTGCCTACGTGCTGGTCGGGGGCTTGTTTGCCAAGATCAGAGGCAGTCGCCCCGGGTGTGTGAAGTGTTCCCATCATGCATCGCTCCATGCATGGGCAGCCCACGCCCACTCATCATCCCCACATTAGCGCTCATCTCGCTCCCGCTATCTCGCTCCTGCACACACACACACACACACACACACTCTCTCTCTCTTTTCTTCTTTCCCATTCTGTCTGTGTTTCTCTCTCGCTCTCTGTGATCTCTCTGTTTATGTTTGACCTTTTTGCCGCGCTGCACCGGCTAATGATGGTACAGGGATAGCAGGTGTGCTGCATTAGCCGACTTCTGCCGTGGCGGAACAAATTAGAGGTCCGCCAACACTGAAGGCCAACCTTTCACCGCCATTGCTCCCGTTAGATGCAGACACACCCACAGATGCCCACACAACACGGGCAGATATGCGAGCATATACAGTGCTGCACTCGCTTTACAAACACATGCACACGCTCTCCGGGGCTGTCACGTGTGTGCAATTTGAGGAAAATGACACAACCTAGCCACATAATCTTCTCACCTGGAAAAATGAGAAAAGGAGGACAGGGGAGAGCGTGCAGGCGAGATATATAATCACGCTTTGTTTGAACAGCTAGCCCGGCTTTACAAATACTATACTCTGCTGATTTTGCATAACTAGACGACTCACTTTCTCCCCCCCCCCCCGTCTCCCGCAGGGTTGAGCTGTGTGCTGAATTTGAAGAGATTGAAAGACTAAAAGAAAGATACACACAGGGGGAGATTACAGCCTCTCACACAAACACACAAACACACATGCACACACACACACACACACGCATCCCTCCCTACTTTATGATATGCAGAACACCGCCTCGTCTCCCACTGCTGTAAAACTAGCCGCTCCACTCTTGACTTGGCAGAGTCAAATCCAGGCGGTAAAAAATCAAAGAGGAATATCAGCTTGATTTGGACCCCTGCTGCTGCCGTAGGTTTGCATGAATGGAGATAGGAGTGCATGTGTAGTGTTTTGTTGTTAGAGGACAGCAGGTTAATAGAGAATGTGAGCTTTTCACTGTTGATTTGGGGGTCGCCATTAAACAACGAGGAAAATAAAGTAATCTACGCTTTCATTTCGGCCTTTTGGGTCTGAGCTGCTGCTGCTGCTTTTAAATGATCAATTCCAACATCGCAGCGTACTGTAATTCCATATTTTCAAGAAGCCCAAACCAATCACAGTCCTTGCAGTCTCACTGTGGTTGGTTGGTAGCCATGTTGATCTGGAAACACTCAAATGACTATGTACTACCTAAAGGGTGGACTGTGAGCGACACATACTCCATATATTGCTCTTCTGTCCATCAGAAGCTGCTTTCAAAGTGACCAAACAAAATTAATAAATCATCCATGAGTGAAGATGTGTTTTTTTTTGTATTGATTTGCAAAAATGTGTGTAAGACTGCATTTGGCTTCTGTACATAAAAATAAACTGGCAAACTGAATTTACATCGCTGTTAAATATTCACAGATCGGGTTTAAGGATTGATATGCAAAGAGGTGATTAACATGTTTACATTGATTTGTTTTAGCGGACTGTTCTCGCGGAAATCCGGCTTGTGTGCAAATCTTAACCGCGAGTCACCGACAGATTTGTGAAACAAACACAGGCGCGTGCACGGATTTGAAAACCTGTTCGTGCCTCCATTTTCTTTTTCTCCCATCTTGGATGACAAAGCATGTGCAGCAGCCCCTGTCAGCCTTTCCAGTGTCAGAAACTCCTGAAGGTGTTTCGTCTGTCCCGATATTTTTTTGACGACACACCGAATCCAAAACACGTGCGTTTACGGATTACTGATAATGGCCAAGAGGACGCGACGTTCTAGAAATTGTACAATCAAAGTGAGGTGTTAACATCAATTGTAGCCTTCGCACACCGAGCTGCCCTGCGAGACGTGTAAAAGAGAGGGACAAGGAAAATTAAACACTTGATGGGAGGGAAATTGCCCTCTGTTTGCCGTGTCGCAACCGTTTCACCCCAGCAAATGAGCACCTTTAGCAGAGGAGGGAAAAGAGACCTTTAGAGAAAACTGGAAATCTTTTTCCTTATTTTCTTCTCTGTCAACCTCGACAGGAGTGCTATTCTGTTGTCTGTCACCGGGCGTGCTCTATTACTGTCATTATGGCAATCGGCCCCTGTGGTTAATGTGTTTGTCTATGTACACAAGTCAGAGGCGGCGTCACTTTGAATGACACCCAATCTACATGGAGTGGGATTGCCTTTTGGTTTTGAGGGAAATGGGAGCGTGCCTTCTTCCTCTTAATCAGACATATTTGATTGATCCGCCCCTCTCCTGCTTCACACCCATCCCCACTTCGGCTGACTGACACGCCGTCTTAACACCTCTCCGACCTTACCTTCTGCTGTAACAGCTATAAAGATGTGTTCAGTCGACACGCCGACTCGTCGCTTTAATGAGCAAACGGACATCACCAGGCAGGTTCGGTTGCCAGAACTCGCAGGTTGACGTGTTCCCTGCTCAGAATCTCAGGAGCTCACGGGTCGACGTGTTCTCCGCTCGTGCGGGCTGACAAGTTTGTCACTCTGAGCTGCAGGACCTTGATGAGCGGCAAACACAAAGTCGGGCTTGAGTGAGGGGAAATCTCTCCGATCTGAGATTCTATTTGGAC